CCACACAGAAATCACTGCTGCTCAGGCTGCTTGTTTCCTGGCCGGACGCGAGTAACAGGGAGTGCGGTGGCAGGCAAGCTCTGCTGTTTGGAGTCTGAAGCCCTGCAGCATCCAGCTTCTGAGTGCTCCTGGAAGAGCGCTGAGGCCTGGGTGTGAGCTCAGGCTGCAAACTCCTGCCTGTGTACAGGCCTTTCCACTGGGCCTCCAGGGGAAAATCTTAACCAATTTAAAATGGAATCTGATGTCATGTGCAGCTGTCTTTGTGTACATTACCTGCATGCCTTCCTGGCCCGATATTCCCACACCAGCGTCAGCCACCTGGATCATGCTGACATCGTTGGCACCATCACCTACAGAGAAAAGAAAAGATGAAACATCACAACTAACCTCTGATGTTCGGAATGCAGCCTGGAGGCAGCTTTGTCGGCTATCACATCGCCATGGAGGTGGCAGGAAAAGACAAATATACAAGAACGCCAGAGAGTTCAGCGAAAAACATTTTTATGGCCAGCAGCGCAGCCTATGGAAACCCCACAGAACGCAGGATTAGGAAGCAGAAGGCCTGACTGAACTGAGCTATATTCTCCACATGGGTATCAGCTGTTCTTTTTGTCAGAGTTTAGTTGGTATTGTGGAACAGAAAGTACGGGTGGTTTAAACCACAGCCGGTCATCTCCCCTCTCCCTCCCTATTTTTGGGGGCTGCGATGGAGAGTGACAAGGAAAGCCCCCTCACTTGCTCCTCTGGACGTGTTACATAGCACTGTGCGTGACTGCTGCTGCCGTTCTTGTTGCGTGGGATTACCATGAGTAAGTTTACGAACTACGTTTGCTAGTTCAGAAGACTAACATCTTCTTACACCAGAGACAACTACGATTCAAAGGATTATCTTCCCTGTAAAGTAAATTTTGTGACAGACATTAACAAAAATCTAGGAGGGAAGAAACTGGCTTCTACTTCTTTTCAGAGTGCGGCGGCGTGGCTCGGCAGCAGACCACAGCCTGGCACTTTTCTGTGAGTTCCAGGAAAGTATCCTGCAGGCTGCCATGAAGAACGTGCTCTAAAGTCCTTCCATCTATAACCAGGCCTGCACTGAACCCTGGAGCTTGGGCGGAGCGACTTGCAGAGACGTTCCCAAGCTTCTGGCCAGGGGTTTTTTTGGCAGGAGTATTCTTCTGGATGCCTTCTAAAATTTTGCTGATGACCAAGGCACAGGCATCCTAATGAAACACAAGTGTAAGGCAACTTATTAAGTACTGTTTGTGTTCTGGCTCCCTTTTCAGTTTGTAAAATACATACGGAGAGCAGGTCAAGCGCTGCCCTTGCGCAGCATTTCTCTTGCATCCAGCAAGGCTCAGACACGAGGCTGAACAACCCCTTAAAATCACAAAGGATGCAGTCGGTTGTTAATAAAGGGGCTCGTGATTTAACTTTGCTTAAGCAGATTGGCTTGGTCATTGTACCAGGAGAAGGGAAAAAACTGATGCAAATCAGAAAATGTTCACAGACTAGCAGAAAAAACAAGCATTAAGGATTCTGTAAAATAAATACAGCTTTGATAGCAGACTTTTGTTCTCCTCTACATTTCTTTTATCTGGCATGCAAATCCAAACATGCATTTCACATCAGACTACAGGTGAGCTGCAAAAAATTACTGAAGAACTGGCCTTGTGGAATTTTTTTACCTTGTCAGAATCAATATAAGATGCCCAAAAGATTCTTGATATCAATACATGTAATGCGTGTGCTACACAGAAGAAAATACATATTCTTAAAACTTGTCATTATTTTACTTTGAAATGCAACACTATCAAATCCTGCCTGTTTTTTATGTCAAAGTCCAGTTAGAGGAGGACAAGCACTTCTGAAAAAGGGGCTCAGTTCTCACTGTTAGGACACTTGTTGCGCAGCAGGAAAAAAGGAAGAAATAAGTGTTAGCGAAAATCAAGCCCTAAGCTTTCCTCAAACACAACTGGCCTAAAAATCCTTTCTTTTTCACTTTATTTTCCCCACAGTTACCGTTTGCCACACAATCTTTTATGGCAGATACAAACTGAATTTCTAAAGTATCATATAAGGAGAGAAAAACAGAAAAACAAAAGGTCTTAGAAAAATCCTCCAGTCCTTCAGAAAAGTCTCAGATTTCAGGTCTCTGCTCTGAGGAGAGACATTTCATATGTTGGCTTTATCAGTTACAAGTAACAATTTTGCTCTTATGAAACCCCAAATTGATAAAAACCAAGATGTGAAGAACAGCTGGTTATAAGCATCCACAAGAGGACGCAACGATCGAGTAGGATTAAAGCTGCCACCCAAACCAGCGGCATTTTTAACCACGCTTTGGCACCCGACTCAGCTACGGGGTGCTGGGGAGAAGGGGGCTTTATCTCTGATAAAATTGTTGGCAGGTGAGTTTTCTTGCACAGTGCGCAATGTACCTTACTGAGACAACTCTCTGTGCATTTATGCAAGACAAGCAGGGCGGAGGGCATATCTTACACAGAGCAGCACAGAACTTCATTCAAGAGAACTTGCATGACCGTAATTCTTACATTGGTAATACGCTGAAACTCAGAGTCGTTTAAAATCTCTAATAATTATTATTATCTCTAATAATAATCTCTTCCAGTCTCCAGTGAAGCATGTCAACTCGCTAACCTACCACAAAGGGAAATGAAGCAGTCTGTTCAATTAAAATCATTAATCATCATTTAAGGACTGTATATAAAAAAAAACCAGGTGTTACACAGATACAAAGGATTTCATATTTTGCCCGTAAGGAAGCAAACCGTCAGTTTTCCAGTATTTTCATCTTCCAGGAAATCATGCCACCTCTGCTTGGTTGGGAATGCACAGAACACTTTATTTTTCAGTACTGCCCTGTGACACAGGGCAGAGGAAAAAAGAAATTGGAAGAAAAGTGTGATTTCCCACTCACCCTACTCTGTGATTTGAGAGTGAAGACTCTGTCGTCCGGCTCCAGCAGTTTACAGGCATAGGCAATGTTGACAGCGGTCTCTCTCTTGTCACCTGTCAGCATCCAGATTTTTATTCCCGCTTTCCGTAACGCCTGTATCGTGTCTGGAACCCCCTCCTGCAGGCGATCTTCAATGCCAGTGGCACCTGAATCGAGACAAGCAGAAGGATTAGTGCTACTGTATTTCCAAAGCCAAAGCGCTGCAAGACACCCTGCTGGGACGTGCGTGGGAATTCCTCCCTTCTGCATCTTCCTGGCCCAGAGGCTGCTGACACGCAGCCTCCTTACAGCCTCGGGGCCTCCAACTCTTCACAGGACCCTTTTAACTTAACTTTTCTCATTCTCACGGTTGTTTCGTCCCGCAGTGGCTGTGGGACACAGACTCCAAGGCTTCTCAAGACAAACGCACTCCATTATTCCCACTCCCTCGTACCCCAGACTGCCCCAAACCTTCCTTCAAACCTTCAAGGCCCACTTCTCCTTATTCTCAGCTCTGCTCCAGGCTGAATTCTCCGTACCTCTCGTCCCAAGCCCTCACCTTTCCCACACCAAAATCCCCTCTTCTTGCATCCGATTCTCACACGCTGCTGCAAAGACCTGCCATTCATCAGCAGGTTTGTCAGCCACTCCTCACTGCAGGACCTCCCGTCCCAGGTCACAGAATATCACAGAATATCACAGAATAGTAGGGGTTGGAAGGGACCTCTGTGGGTCATCTAGTCCAACCCCCCAACTGTAATTCACCTGTGTTCTGCCCTCCCTCCCGCCTGCACTGCCAACCTCGGCACAATCCCCCACGGGGAGGAAACGCCTGCTCCAGCACACACCCCTGGGTGGTTATAGAAAGACTTTCAACAAATAAATACAGAGGTTTTAACAGAGGTATCTTCTCTTCTGGTGTGCGCAGCAGGCAGGACTCTGCCCCTAGCACCAGCTCACAAAATCTTCTGTTCTGGTAACAGTGAGGTAACACACCACCAGCGTAAAGCAGAAGCATCTCTGAAAAGCTGCAGTGCCACGATTTACTATGGTACGGGACGTTTTCGTGGCTTTATCACAACATAAATGGTACTAAATCATAACCAGGAGACACAGCTTGGCTTGTGGAAATCTCAGGCTGAGAGAGTTTCTCAGAAAGAAACTTCAGCCAGTTGCAGCTAGGTTAATTCCAACAGACAAACAACAAAGAAATTCCAGTCCAAGTTTTCCCTCCTGGCAAGTTGGGTAGAGAGGAACCTGATGAGGTTCACCAAGGGCAAGGGCAGGGTCCTGCACCTGGGGAGGAACAACCCCAGGCACCAGTACAGGCTGGGGCTGAGCTGCTGGAGAGCAGCTCTGTGGAGAGGGACTGGGAGTGCTGGGGGACGGCAGGGTGACCATGAGCCAGCAGCGTGCCCTGGGTGCCAAGAAGGCCAATGGGATCCTGGGGTGCATCAAGAGGAGTGTGGGCAGCAGGGCGAGGGAGAGAAGGCTGAGAGGGGACCTTAGAAATGCCTCTAAATATCTGCAGGGTGGGTGTCAGGAGGATGGGGCCAGACTCTTTCCAGTGGTGTCCAGCGACAGGACAAGGGGCAACGGGCACAAACTGAAGCAGAGGAAGCTCCAGCTGAACACGAGGAAGAACTTCTTCCCTCTGAGGGTGACGGAGCCCTGGCCCAGGCTGCCCAGGGAGGTTGTGGAGTCTCCTTCTCTGGAGATATTCCAGCCCCGCCTGGATGCGGTGCTGTGCAGCCTGCTCTGGGTGACCCTGCTTGGGCAGGGGGTTGGGCTGGGTGACCCACAGAGGGCCCTGCCAACCCCCACCATTCTGTGATTCTGTTTCCAGCACGGGACTCCAGCCCGCAATTTGTATACAAAGCGCTGTCCTGTGGGGATGGATAAGAGCCAAACGGTCGGGCAAATTTCTGTGCTACAGCGATTTCTTCGGCAAAGAGCTGCCAACAGGGCACAGAGCTCACGGCCCCTGGTCTGTGGGCAGACGAAAACCTCCCGGTCCTTGCAGGCCAACAACGGAGGCAGGAAGGAGGGCGCTGGGATCTGCTTGATGCTTCTGTGAGAGGCGCTGCCAGGCATCGAGGGAAGAGAGACAAACGCTGTTTCAGCATGGGTGCTCTGTACACTTAGCACTCCCCTTCCCAGGTCCTTGAGCACTCTGTAACCCAAGAGGAGCCGGTTTCAACACGCACACTGCAGATCTGCGCTTAGTCAAGTGCTTTCCAGAAATAGATTTCCACTGCAGTAAAGGCCTGAGGCTTTATACATAGCCAGACGGATTTCGTACCTGCCTACGCAGTGGACTACAAACCACTGCTGTCCTCCACGATCCTGGCAATACTGAGATGATTTGAATTTTTGCTTGCTGTTCTTTGAGGACAAAGTCTTCATTTCTCAGTCCTAAGAGGATAGTCAGAGTTACAGCTGCAGCTACATCAGTAATGTTTATTAAGAAAGAAAAGGAAGGCTCAGAGAAGCAGGATAAGAAGTGCTGTAAGGAGTTCTACTCTGCAGATCACAATGTGCAGTGCCCCAGGCAGGGGTAACTAAGCTAGCAGAGGTGCTAACAGCAAGCACCTCAGCAGTATGGAGGAGCCATTTATTATTCTCACTCCCATTCAAGATTGGGGCCAACCCATATTGCACTCTCCCACCAGAGACATGAGATAAAAACATGCCTTGAGCCTGCAGGACAGCAGGTCTCCAGAGCAACTACGCTTCCCCCTGCTGACTCTAGTGCAAAAGGGTACCCGTACAGCACATCGTCCCTTAAAACTGCAGCAGCTACCAGCACTGCTCTGGCTTCTCTGCAGAAACTGCAGCCAGTAACCCCAGAAGTCCTTTTAGTATCAAGGTTTGTGGCATTTGCTCTGGGCAGATGTGGCACAAAACGAGGGAAGTAACACCCTTCCGCACACAGGATCTGTCTCTTCAGCTTCCAGCATCAGCTGCCTTTACCACCACAGTCAGATCTCTGCACTTTGCTTTCCACATGTTATTTGCTGGGCCGTCCTCTAGAGCTATTATCCCCGACTGCCTGCAGTTTACACTTCCACATCCACACCAAACATTTCTCATTTTGTTCTGGCCTCCCCATTTCTGCACAGCTGAACGACCATCAGAGGAACGGTTCCTGCAGAAGCACGCCTGACTTCGTGTTATTACCGGAGGACACAGCACAAGCGTACCTGCTGTGCCAGAAACGCAGCAGTGATGGAAAACATGCCCAGAAGTGGGATGCCCGTGAATGTTTGCCTGGGCAGGTCTGTGATTTGTTATTATCATTTTACGTGCTTATTAACGATGACACTTAAAAACTCTACTGAGCACAGAAAAGAAACCCAATAAAAAAAAAAAAAAAAAAAATTCAGTAAAACTTTACCCTTTACAAGCAACAGAAGAGCACTACCTGTCTTCAGTGTGTTTTACAACTAGTACAAACTCACCAGCAAGATTTATGAAAATTCAAGAGTGACAACAAATCCTAGGTCTGCAGAAAACTAGGTGTTACGCAAACTGCGGCTGGCGCAGCTCCCTGCAGGTAAATTCCAATTATGAAGATCACAAGCAGTTTCCTGGGAGTTGCAGCACTTTCCACCTACCGAGTAAAGTTAGTCTGGTCTCTAGCCTGATGGCAGATTCAAGCAGCAGCTCCTCCCTATTGTCAATACTGGTTTCCGCTAAAAAATGATGATTTAACCACTCTGCGTATTCTGCATCACTCAACACCTACAGAGGGAGAGAAAACATACGGTATGTATCTATATTGTGTTTTCAAAGGCACATCAAAAGTGTCCTCACCATTACTTCTGCCGTGCCCACAGTGACCGGGGAAGCACAGCCCCTGGCAGTGCCTTACTCACACGCACCAACACGTCCACGGGCTCAGCGCGATGTTCACAGCGTTACGTCGCTTTGCCAGGCTTCACAAGCCAGGTCACTCTCCGGCACCCCGCAGGCTGCTGGAGCTGCCTGACAGATGCCGGTTCTGACGGAAGGCAGGCAGGCTAACGAGCACAGCGTCCTCTCCCTGCTGCTCTTTAATTGCAGCACTGACATGGCCACAGAATCATGGCACAGCTGTGTCCAGCTTGAGACTGTACAGCTACGCAGCCTGTACTTTCACTTTGCAACGGCTTTCTGCAGAGGTCTGTTGCCTGTTTCAATCCCTACGGAATTTTACTTCCGAGCAGCTTTGAATTTAAAACGGAATCTCAAAACACCACTGAAGTTTTGCATCTAGAGCTTGTAATACTGCAAACTCTTTGTGAAAGCAAGCAAAACAGGTCTGACTTCACTTGTTTTCTGCGTCTGGAATTCCAGCCAGGGTCAGTTTCACACAAGGAGACCTTCTCAGGACACTTGAGGAAAATCAGGCTGTTTGACAACCCCTGTTTTAGAATTATGCTATTAAGCTGCTTGGCATCTTAAACTGGCCACAACAATGGCAGTCTAATGGAAGTCAGGAATTGATCTGGGCCAACTCACAAATTCCTCCTGAAAGAACATAAGGATGAACAAACCATGGCAATGGAAGCATCTCGTTTAGCAGCGGTGATGCCTGCTCCTTTGGTGATACCACTCCAGCTGGTCACAGACTGTAAACGTTCTTAAAAATATGTATTAAAGGGCATACCTTCTTAGCAATACACAGAGTGCGCAGTCCTCTCCTGGCATAATCATCCAAATGCTTCTGAGTTCTCTCTTTAATCTTCTTTTGTTCCATTTCTGAATTATTAGTACCTCCTATCACACAAAAAGCAAAGCAAGCAAATTAAATATGCATTCCTAGGCTAAATTTAGTGGAAAATTTCGAAGGTCTAAATAAGTTTTAAAAACACCAAAACATTAACAGGTTTTATTTTAACTGCGAATGTATCGCCATGTTTGCACAACGTACCACGGCTGTATCTGTAGCGAGCACGCAGCGTGCCAGTCTGCACAAGCAGTGAGAGGAACCCGTCTGGTACCGATACCTCTTTGGATGCCATCAGTGTATTAAAATGTTTTTCTAAAATCAAATGATTTTCTAACATGAACTGGGCCACAGACACCCAAGCAGCTTTACTGTCACTGGTCTAGCGGGAGGTAGCTAAAAGGGCAATCGCAGAAAAGGTTTTCAAAAATAACTATTAAGGGGTGGACTGTTTGGACAGGCAAAAAACCCAAACCTTGGAACATATTCTGAACTTCAATATATTTAGGTATTTATTGCTAACATACACAAGATAACAACTTCCTCTTTACTGCCTTCAGTTAGAAGACAGTGAGTGCCCGCTACCGTGTATGAATAAATCAGTTCGTGCTTAAACAACATGGTGCATTCCTCCTGTGGCAGATTCAAAAAACATTTATCCCACAACAACAGGGCCCAGCAGAAGGCACCACACAACTCTACAGATATTATTACTACATGTAGAAACACAGAAATAGTCAGTAGTCACAGGAAAAAACCTCAAAAAGCACCAATAGGTGGCATCTGCTACCCATACCTCCCCCAGCAGCTCAGAAACACTAACGCAGGTAAAGGCTAGAAAGAATCTCAGTTCTAACAAACACCTCTGGCTGTGTAGCAGCAGCCAGCTATTCAAGCAGATGACCTTACAACTGGAAATACTTCTGCCGGCTCCAAAGGGCCTGCTTAGACACCACTCAGTCCTTTGAATAACAGCTGCTGCTCTCAGTTTCCACAGCAGCGCAGACATATCTCGGTGACAAGCAATACTACCTTTCTGGGTTCCCTGTAAGGAACTATTCACAGATAACAGCTCTGCTTGGTTATTTGTCTCTTCTCGTGAATCAGGCCATCTGTTCAACTGTACTGAAGAATGACAAAGGCAAGCAGAGAATCAGAAGTTCTAGAGAGAATCAGAAGTTCTACAGATACCTTCAGACGCAACTGTCAGCAAATCCATCATGGCTGAGTCTGCACCTTTTGTGTACACCACCACCTTGTTGGAGACTGGATGCCGAACCACCACCGACATCCTTTTCCGCACTGAATCGAAAGGCAGGATATGCAAAAGCTGAAACGTTAAAGATCCCAGGCCTGCAAAGTCCACAGTTACTTGTTCTGGAGTCCTGGACTGCAAAATACATTTATAAGCCCTAGCAGCGTGGACCAAGGCAGCTTCATCTGGACTCTCCGCTTCATAACAGAGTTTCGGTAAGGGGGACAATCCAGCAGATGACGCGGCACTGCTGTGTTCACAGCCAGCAGCTACATTCACCGTATCTCGTTCTTGAGGCACTTTGGGATCTTCTGGGCTGTCAGTCTCGTGAGGCTCAGCGGCCCTTTGACCAGTTCCATCCAAAGCAGGTGAAGCCAGCTTCATTCTGAAAATAGACAGTTTGCGCACAAAACTGTTGGGGCTTTCAGACGATGACTCTTTGACACTTGGAAGTGGGGAGGAACTCAGTCTCCGCACTGACAGCCTCTGGAACATCTGCCTGATTTCCTCCAGCGATTTAATAGGCGTCCGACCCAGTGAAGAGAGTCGCATCTGCAACAGAACAGTCAGGGAAAGAGCTTTTGTTAAATTCTTCATATTTTATACATTAAAGAAGCACAGCTTACAAACCATGTATGTTTCTTAATGAATGTATTATTTTTAAATTTACCATGAGTTTGATTTCTAGTATTAAAGGTGGCCAGCTCAATTAAACGTATAACCATATGAGTACATTAAACAGCTTCTGTGAGAGCTTCATTATTCAAACCAAAAGAATTGCAAAAATACTTCAGATCTGAAAACTGTATGCTTTCCAAGTTTGATTCATGACTCCATGTAATAATTCTCTCTAGAACTGTTTCAGTAATTAAACAGTACGACATTATAACTTTTAAAAGGTGTGGTAAATGGAACTAAACACTTTAATTCTTGTTCTGAATTAGCAAGACACTTTTGAAGAATAAACTAACTCCATACCCCTCACAGCAACTAGCTACAAGTGCTGTTAAAAATACAGCACCTCATCAATAATTGTTAATGTCCGAATTTAAAACAAAAGACAGTTCTTCTCTCATCAGTGTTACAAAATAACTGGCTTCCTGTTCTTGGGAACAGTTAGGCAGCTAATAGCTTACAAACAAAGAAGAAGGCGTGCAAGGCTGACATTCGCTTCTCGTCATCACTGAAGAGTTAAAAATGAGTTATCACCAGGAAGCACATTGTCCTTTGCCACTGAAAAGCATAACTTAAGGACAGACTCTAGCTCCAGTTCCACCGCTGTGGCACACAAGCTGCACGGTGTCTCCACTCAGCATCACAGAGACTAGGAACATCCTTTCATCGTCTCTCTCTAAGGCAACACCAAAGCCTTCCGTTGCCTTGAGCTCTTTCATGTCAGTCCCTCATCGTGAACACAGAAACCTCATGCCTGTGACCTGGAGATCTTCTTCCCTGCTAGCAAGTCATCCAGAAATACTATTCTCAAATAACTGAGAACCTTGCCTGTACATTTTTCTAGATCACCCCTGATTAATCATCATGAACACAGCTGCCCCACCAACATAGGGACCCGCTGGTTGCCTACTACATTTTCTGAAAAGGCCTGGCAGCACACTAAAATACCAGGCTTATTTATACACAAGAGGTACTTTATCCTCCACAGAATACCTTCTGGGAACGTCTCCAGCCATGGCTGTAGGTTCACTGCCTAGGTGGACACCAAAATCTAGTCCTGCACATGTCAAACATTTTTTTTCAAAAGACAAAGTCAACAAATGGGAATCCCCAGGGGATGGGGGAAGGAAATCAAAGCTGAACTTCGGAATTATCCTGCAACACAGTCAAAACTGGTAAAAGATGGGGTTATGAAAATCCCATCCTGAAAAAAAAAAAAAAAAAAGATTTAGAAAAGACAGTAGTATCTTTAAATAAATGTTAGGTTGTGTGCTCTGAAAATAAGTGGTCTCAGGAAGACTTCAACACACTCCAGACCCTTAACCCAGGACAGTCTAGCAAATGCACTGTATGTTCAAGGTGAGACCACTTCATGTCATATTGCAATGTATTTTTTCTTCAGATTATTACACATATGAAACTTGATCTTCCATACTGTTGCTGAAACTCTATGTGAATAGTCAGGGAATAGGTAAGAGCATTCTCACTTCCAATATTCTGGGAGTCTTCTGAGACTATTCTTCTCTCTCAGCCAACAACAACCTGTTTATAAAGGTAACCTGACTGTTAGGGTAATCTTAAAGGCAGCTATACACAAATCTGGAAAAAGATAACTACAATATAGAAAAAAAACCACAATGGTAATTTAATCTCAAAATTTGTCTTGTAAAAGTTATGCACAGTCTATACACAGAAGCAAAAATATTGAAGCCAAGTTTTTATGCACTGGAAAAACATTACCAGCATTGTATTACACATTGACTCACTGCAGTCCGTGGGTTTAGAGCAACTCCCTTCTTTGTAACAGGACAAGTCAATAGAGGAGTAAAAGATAATTTTTTAAATGTCAGATAAGTGTTTTTTCCTTTTGTAATCAGACCAAAGGGAGCCCATTTATTTATGAATACAGCCAAACAGCCAAAAATAAGGCCTTCTTACCTTCTGACGTGGCTGATTGGGGACTGAAACTACAACAGTATTACAGATTGCCAGAGCAAGAAAGAAGTCAGTGATGTACATTGTCTCCAAAGATAACCTGCTGCTAGCTTCTTCTGACTGTTGATAGGAAAGAGAAGAAATTTGATGGAACTTCTCCAGCAGTTGTGCATCCGGTACGACATCCGTTTCCTGTTGATGAGATGAACAAAATTTTCCATCAGGACAGAAGCTTAATCTCCGTCTCTGGGGGTTAAATCAGTTACAGCTGAATGAAGTGTAGAAGCTCATACAACTTCCCTCCCATCAGATGCTGAGTTGGTTTTACTTGGAAATAGAGGAACACCCTGGCGTCTTCCCCACCTTGTGCTAGCCCGTTGAAAATGGCAAACTTCATGCCCAGACAGCTAAACAGTAGAGTCTTAGTGCATAGACACTTCAACAGAGATTAAATATGACAAATGCCATTTAGACATCTTCAGGCACAGGAGCAGAGTTTTTACCTCTCATAACCTCCAATAAATAGCGGTCACCTAGATACCTCCCATTAAAAAACAAAATAAAATGCTAGAAAACTCTTAAAACAAAAGAACAAACCGCAATTAAGATGAAGCTGGTCATTTTAGCTGGGGTGATCACAGACTTACAGCACCAAGAACCAAAGCACACACCTTTGTGACCAAGCTGCAACGTCAGCTGCAAATAGGATGCAGCCAAGCAGTCCTGGCAGACTCTTGTTTTGACGGAAGAGAGAAAGATTTCTTAAATGACAAGCACTCTGATCAAATGGGGGGTAAAAGGTATTCCTTCATAAGTTACTTCAGAAATTTAGCATCAAAACCAACAGCTTTTACTTACAATGGGGCTGCTGAAGGCAACATGTCCTGAGCGAGGAACATCACCTGCTCCATCTTCCCTTCCTAATGCAGGGTAACTACCAGAAAACTCCTGCGAGGGCTTTCTGCCCAAAGGCTCATCCACAGCTCTGCAGTTGTGCCCCCGCCATTTTGACATAGGAGTCGAAGAGCCACACTGATGATCAGTTGCATCCTCATCCTCTGAGTCCATCTCTTGATAAGATTCCAACCTCTTTGCTACAGAAAGGGAAGCAAAATTATTGTTTCATGAGCAAAAAAAGAAACTTGTCTAAAACACTGCCTGGGGGTTCAGGAAACAAAATTTTAAAGTAAGGAACTTAGTATATAATTAAGAATAATTCACCATTTATGAAAAAAAAAAGAAAAGCCATAAGAAGCCATCAAACTGACTTCCATCCACTGCTCTTCAAGAGCAACACTCCACTGGAGTGAATCCAGCAGTGGGAGCAAGAACGAACAGGGGTCCAGACAACATGAGCTGCATGGAAACAGCACAGTGAGCTGGAGTTACGCAGCCTCCAGAAGGGAGCACTGATGGGAGCCAAGTAGCAGTCTTCAAGTACACGCAGGGCAATAGCACAGAGAAAGGAAACAGCCTGTTTTCTATGCATGCTGTGGGTAACAGAAGACACAACCGTCCTATATTGTGGCCTAGGTATCAGCAAAACTCTGTCAGAGAAGACATGACGTACTAGAACAGAATACCTGAGAAAGCACTGAATTGGAGGCTCTGAAGAAGCAAAAAAAAAAATATTCCTAAAGAATGATAGCAACAACTCTGCCTTAGGCCAGAGATATGGGACCTGATTACCTCCTGGTATGTTTTGTAGCCTAATTGTTTCGTGATGGATCAGGATTGTACGCCACTGGTTTGACAAGTGCAGCTTCTAGTAGGAACTCACTGAAACGGTGATTCTAATTTCTGTACTGGACACCTCCCTCCCCATACACATTTTCTGAGCATTTAACTGAAAAGCAGGTTTCAATAATAAAACTTTGTACTGACAGTCTAACAGCTTGGCACCAAAGATATAAACACAGTTCTGTGCCCCACAAATCCAGCTAGGAACTCTGTAGCAAATGGAAACATGCCTATGCTATCACGTGCTTGCTAAGAACACACCCAAGGGTCTGCACTGGAGTTCTGGGACAGTGCCCACACGCAACAGGCTGCAACCTCAATCCAGACAGCACTGGATCGCTGCACACTGCTCAGCTTTCAAGTTTTCATCTGTCGCTGTGAAAACAGCACGCAATGAGCAGTTCAACGTCTGCATCCACAGACAGCATGGAAAAATTGTTCCGAGAGCTGGGTATTGCCTAGTTATTTCATTAAAGTGTGAATACAGTGGCATCCTAGGAAAAAAAACAATACTAACATACGGACATCTCCTGCCACACCACTAATTCCCTATCTTTTTTCTTATTTAAAGTTGCAGCTACTGTACAGGGAAGAAGTGAATAGTGGGACATGATTCTGTTCTATGCAAAAGGGACACCTATCCACAGCTCACAGCCCCCAGCTCTGGGGCTAAAAATGAGAATGAAATAGGTTACTTCTGTCACTCGTGAGTCCTGTTCCTCCTAGCCAAAGCACAGGAGCTTAGCTATGTTCAGGCTACCGGATTTGCTAGCCAGTTAAGTTCTCCTTGTTTCCTGTTGTCTTCTCTTTCTGGAACATAAATGAAAGCCTCCTGTCCCTCGTCCTGCCATTCTGATGAGTCCATGGAAAGCAGGGAGACCAGAGCTTACACCTTCCTTGGCAGGCCATCTCTTCCAAAAAAAAGATAGGAGGGAACTTAACAAACCATGGCTCTCCAAATACAATATCCCACACGTGGTACTGACACCTTTTATCAGAAAGCAGCCACAGTGACTTAGTCCGTGTTTGTAGAGGCAGGTCTGGACAACACACGCCCACGCCACTGTGCTTCCAGGCTGCTGAGAATCTGCCCGCTCTGTCTGAAGTACCATCTGCGGGCACCTCTTCCAGCACCACACCGCTGTGCTGCCATGAGGCGCCCGTTGCTTCAGGCAGAACACTGCACGGGGAGTCTACTGGATCACAGCCACTGCTGTTGTGTGCTTCCCTCATGTGCATCCCTTCACCCTGGGCAATACAGATATAAATACAGAAATACATGCGCAGAGTTAAGGGGCTTGCATGCAAAAGACTGCACTGTGTTGCACTGCAACTCCTGTTCTCTGTAGTAAGAGCCTTGCAAATAGCAGGTCTATGCAACTGAACCAATGTAAAACAGGCCTAAACCACACCATCTCCAACATTTTTCAAACTGATTTTCAGGGCTCACTTAACTAGATTTGTTAGGAAGAAGCACATGATTACCCTCCAGGTAAAAGACACGGCACAACAGGAGAGAATTATGAACAAAATTAACACACTAATATTTTTGGAAAATAACTCAAAGTGAACTGCTAGCAGAAGTACGTGGCAGACTTACTTTCCCTGGCACAATGTGATCCACATCGGCCACAGCGACACTGTTTGCACTACTCTTTGGTTTTTCTCTTCTGAAATACTTTTGCTTCCTTTAGGAAATGCTCTGAAAATATATCCCACTTTTTATTTAAGTTGTTCATTCACCAAGTTCAAAACTTTTAAGTATTTCTTCTCACTTTGCTGTTGTCGTTCTCGCCAGTATAATTATGCAAAGCCAAAGAAGTACCTGGACCTGCATACTGTAAAATTCTCCATATATGTGCAGAAATTACCACAACAATCATTTATAACCACCTGCTCCTACAACACCACAAAAGAACGGCTGTGCTGACTCGTGGCCGTGGCCAGCAGGGTGTGCCTTCTGCTCGCAGCTGTCAGCAGTTCCATCCGGCAGCAAATCCCACCAAACCACAAAGAGTGGTTTCAAAACCACAAAGAGTGATGTCATTCACAGCTGTGCTTCACATATCCGCCTGTCATCATCCCACCTTCGATCTCACATGGAATACTTGCACTGCCCACCAGCAAAACAGCAAATGTCTGCAGCTGCTAGTAATTACACGCAGTAACGGTCATAAAAACTTTGTGGTTTTAGCTCAGTAATAAAATAGCTAATTAAATCAAAGACTTCATGTCACGCTGCCCAGTTTTTTCTTGTGTCCGGAGTTGTATCTTTTCCTGGCTCCCAGAAGGTTTCAAAAGTGGGCTCTCACGAAACGTATATTGAAAGATGCTACACTATTAGACAGTGAGGCAGCAACTGTCCAGTAACACCGCCTGTTGACCTTCTGACTAACAATAAGTAGGTGTGTAAGGTAAGTAAGAATGCAACAGTCATTACTTCTGACGAAGGTACTGATCTTTGCTGCCTTAACACACACACGTACACACATCTGCCTGACTTGTACCTTAACACTACTGTTGTTAAGGTTGGACTAGATGACCCACAGAGGTCCCTTCCAACCCCTACTATTCTGTGATTCTGTGATTCTGTGTTAAAGCTCCGACTTGAGCATGTATTTTACTTGGGTTACTGTATCCTCGAGGGCAGCAGTACATTGAATCGGAGCCTTAAGATGCACTACATCGCGGTGGTACACCACTACGGCAGGCAACAGGATGTTTGAGCATGCCAGGTAAGCTCTGGCACTCTAGTTGGGGAAAAAAAAAGAAAGACTAGATGGGCAATTTTCCAGTGTTCTGGGTTTTGATATTACAAAGAGAGAATGCTTATGCTGGGACTTAACTAGCTGCAAAGCAGCACCCTGCACACAGCCTTCAAGTCTCTTCACACACTACATATGAGAGGATCCAAATAAGGGGGAAAGATGCACAGCTATTGGTGGGCTCAGTCTGAATTCATACCTTCCATGAGCGTGTATTGCCACACAGACCTCGTGAAGTCCATCAGTCCCCTATCAAAACTTTCAGCTTCTCTGAGAAGAGAAGAATCACCCAGTGTGAACACAGGTTTAGTGTCTTACCATTTTCCTCATGGCAATACTCCTGTCCTGCAATGCTGCATCTCCGAAAAACCATCTTATTTTCAGTGAGGGTTCCAGTCTTGTCAGAGAAGATATACTGAATCTGGCCAAGGTCTTCAGCAATATTCAGTGCTCGACACTGAATTGTTGAGTCTGTTTTCTCATGGTAAAAATCAACGTCATTCTGTATTAAATAAATTTGTCCCAATTTGACAATTTCAATTGAAACATAGAGAGAAATTGGGATCAAGACCTACCAAAATAAAACATGGGTATTAAATAAAACCAAACTCTTTGGCCAGTTACAAACATGAAGTAGCTCTACTGAAGCCAAAGAGTTACTTCAAGGATATAAATGAGATCAGAATATGACCCATGTTCAAAGCAGACCAAACTTACCTGTAGTAAAATGATCATCGTCCAGAACATATTGAACCCTGCTAACGCTGGAGGAATTGATTTCCCAGCCGGCTCAGGGATGTTAAAAAAAGGTATTTCTGAATACCTACTCAACCAAATTCCATGGCCTTGAAAACAAGAACAAGACAAAGCAAGTCAGTTGTATGCGAACTCAGGGTCATGGTGTTAGCTGTTATACTCTGCAGTTCTTCCTAAGCTTTTAAACTACCATTTTCTCTCTTGAGTTTTTCCTCACCAGGAACCCCATTAAAATGAATTAAGTATTAATGCACACACAAGTAAATACCTTACGTGCATTTCCATCAACAGCACATCTACACGGCATAGCTCAGCACTAAGAGAATACTAACTACATTTGATCAGCACGTCTTTTTCCCCCAGAAAAACCTCTGGTAATTAACTGCATTACCCTTGCTTGTCCAGGTTTTAGTTAACCTGGGAACACCATGTCATCACTATTAAGTGTAGTCTGAAGAAGGTTTTTTAAACATGTTTTAAACACCCTTTTGATTTGTCGTAAGTCTATTTAGATTTACTCTAGCTCACTATTTAATCAACCCCTAAAATATCAAGCCCTTACAACACCAGTCACACTAGGCCTCTCCCCACAACGCTGTACACGCATCTCATGCTACCTGAAAAATCCTAAGAGACAGCAGGAGTTTTGCAGAGCAATTAGTGAGAGAAAAGAGAAATGAATCGGAGAAACCGGTTCCAGACCTAAGAACTTGCACCAGGAATATACTTCTGACCACACTCCAGTTTAAACACGACAACATGAACTAAAACCTGGCAGTACCCCCAGCTGCTAGGGAACTGCACATGGATAAAGGCAGTTTCAGAGATGGGCTGTTGAAATGAAATCAGCCCCAAAATAAAACACTAAGCATTGTAGGCCAAGAGAGGAAAATAGCAGGAGTCTGCCAATTCACACTTACCTATTGCACCAGTTAAACACATCACAATCAGAAGCAGCACACACCAAAGAATATCAGTGTTGACTTTCCTTTCCAATTTACTGCGCTTGTAATGAGGACCGCTGTTATTCAGCATGGCTTTGGTTTCATGACCTGTAACCACAACACAGGCTGAAGTTCTCTAATAGCAGGTATCAGAACAAGTGCTTTGTATTTGTAAAGCTCTGAAAAGCGGGACATTTCTGTTAACTAATATTTGAACATATCATATTGATTAGTTTAAAAACCTCTGCCCTTTGATACAGAACACTGAAGAACAGCACTGGCTTCAGTTTTGGACCAGGAAAAAATCCTAAGCCACGCATCTCCATGTCCATTTCAAAACCTGAGTTTACCATCACAGCTAACAGTTGGGGACAAGGACCTGTTCACACAGAACAGAGCTGCCCTCCCATGAATAATCAGATGCATCAGTTCTTCACATCGTTGAAACAGAAACAGACTTAATCCAGATATGCACTGTTGACATTTCTAGCTACGGCTGCCTTGTGCTGGATTCAAGCATTTACTCTCCTAATGCCCCTTTGTGATGCTGTTTCTTAGGACACATAACCCTACCTCGCTTGCAAGGCAATCTGTGAGAGCCAGGGTGGTTCACTAACCTGCATAAACCACGATGCCCACAACAGCTTCTGTGTTTCTCACCGTGCACCCTCGGAGCAGTAAGTTTTCCTTGCTGAGGCCCACTCGCTCCTTGTTTGAATGCTCACTGTAAAAAAAGGCACATTGCTTCAGCTGTAGGACTCCAGCAATTACCAGTCAGGCTTTGCAAAACCATTAGAGAGCAGATTTCCCACAGAAGCTGCTAGTCACTGGCTGCCATTCTGACATCTCCGATCAGACTTTCCAAAAAAACGGGGTAACATGCATGCAGATCACCTTTGAAAAATCCAGGTATGTAGGCACCGTATGAAAATTTCCATGTGTTTACAATCCTAACATTTGCCAGCTGGCACATGAGAATTAGGCGACACTACTGAAAAGAGGTCAAGACAAACACTCGATGCCTAAAAGCCTACGAATTCTACTTGGATGACCAACATCAGAAAAAATCTGAACAAAATATAAAATCCCATTTTAAATATACTGTGAGCATCATTGCTCCTGTGGCATATTTTCAGTGCTGGCAGGCCCACTGTTGTGTCAATATGTTTCCTCAGAGCTTAAGATTTATACATAATTTATATTTCTTTTCATATTTCTAAAGTGTCAGTGCCCACAGGGAAGAATATAGACATTATAATTCTCAAATGGTGAAAATCAGTCACCCCATGAAATAGTATTTTGTTTTCCTACTGTCTGTAGAAAATCATAAATCCATAAGAAGAAAAGACACAGACAGGCATGTTGGTCAAAAGGACTTTGATCAAGCCACTGATGGTTACACAAACCAAATCAGAGTAGGAGAGGAAGCCAGTCCTTCCCTTTTCCAGTTCTGAGCAATGCAGCTTGTCCAACCAGGCCATGGTGCAGACCAAATACTGTAGATAACACATTATTAAAAGCAGATTTGAAACAGCTATTTCAAATATGGAATACATAATTGCAAACCAACCTGAACTAAGATGCGGAAAATATTCAAAACAAAATAAAAAGCACTAGCAGGCTTTCCCAGTTCACAGTCAGCTGCCCAGAAAGCCCTTCTGGACCTCTGTCTGTTAGGCTGCGCTCAGAAATGTAGTGGTGCAAACTGACTTCTATATGTTAGAATATGTTTATATGTTATTATGTTTTAAAGCAAACATTACGAGCTCTCTTCAAATTAGTAAGAGCACCAGAGCAAATGACAACAGTTTAAAGAGCCCCCAAGCCTACTTACACGAAGCCTCGGAAGCGACTGAGGTCGTTGTTTGGACTTTCACACTCTATTCTACTGGAAAATTTTTCTGGATCAATTTCAGATGCCTAAAGCCATAGGGAAAAAAAAAAACAACTTAGACAAAACGTGATGGAACTTGAAAACATCATCAGTTCATATGTTCAGATATTACTATCTAACAATTTAGGTTCAAAACCCTAAGTTGCTGGTGTTGATGATCTGCTACCCAACATAAACCAGACTTACACAGCATGGAAGGACTTCCTAGTAAGTATAAAACCCTGGTAAGTATCAGTTGAATTGCTGATATTTTGACAACACTGGAGAGGAGAAAACGAGTGGAAGAGTGAGGAAGAAGAAAAAAAATGCATTAAGAACACCTGAAAAGCAGAGATTTCCCAAAAGTTTTTGTCATGATAAGCAACAAAAAAAAGAGGCACTGTCTTCTCTGCAAGCAGAAATTTTAATGATGCTTGAGCCTTACCAGTACTGAAGAAAGGTCTGTTATGAAAGACTAGAAGTACATATTGTGAATAAAGAGCGGGTGAGCTCTTCAGTGAAAAGCCAAGCAAAACAAATACCCTTTACTAAATGAAACCTGACAAGAAGAAAAAGAAAAACCCCCAAAAAAACTTATCTTTGGAATCACCTGAAACCACACTTGCAATTTAGTTTCAATTAAAGGCATACGAATATGCCTCTAGCCTCCGGTATAACAGAGCTGAGTACCTTCCACTAACTCTTTGGAAAGTCATTTGTTCTGCTCTGTAGAAAAAAGGATTGACCAATTTTAGGTTTCAAACTCCAAGGATAAATCTGTAATTCACAGGTGTAACTGAATACACATTCTACATAATGACATCTCTCTGAGAAGGCTGCACTCCCACAACTGGGTGACTCCACACTAGCAGAATAGCAACTGCGAGGTTTAAACCCAATCCTGTAAGCAGAATTTGAAACTCAAAAGACATAATATTATTAACACATACTTTGTTGGCTTGATTAAAAAACAATTTTGCTATGTTTTGCTGTATTGATTTGTTGCACTGTGTTAACCTGAAGTCAATATGAACACAGCCTTAGGGAGACAGACACCTTCAGTCTCTTTGTAAACCCAATTAACTATGAGACCTCTCTCTCCACTGACCTGTCTCATGTTTATTTGTACAGCAACTACAACATTTCTGTAAAAGGTTAAGACAGTATATGTGATTCACACTTCTCAAGCATTTCACGTTGTACAATGCTATACAAAAAAGAGCACAAAGAGAATAAGGACTACCCCCAAAAGCAAGTAAAATAGCCAAAGTCAATTCTTCTACTGCCTGGAAACTGTCTCCAGATATGTATTTCTGGTGAAAGCATCTTATTTGTGACGGAGAACTAAACAATTTGACTTGGTCAAACAACTTGTAACAGCAGTGAAGGTGTTAGCAGGAGCTTCCTGCAATATACCTTGAAAAAGCAACCACAGAAACTCGGGGTGTAACCTCTAGTGGGCACAGAAATTACGTCCACACTCTGCCAGTATAAAACAAAGACAAAAACTATGTCCAAAAGCAGGCATCTTGATGTGGGCACTCGCCTCTTCCTGCACTATAAGTTTATGGTTATATTTCTTCATTACAATCTCAACTTTGACAAAGCAAATATTGAGAGTAGAAGATTTTGCACCTGATTTCTTGAGATGCTTTCCTACGTTTCCTGGCACAAAAGACAAGATTTTCTACGGCAGAATTAAAATTACTTGGATTTTGCATAAAGGTCCCTAAAGCAGGGGAACAACAAAGATGGGAACTGAGTAAGGTAGCTGTGAGTCACAGGCCCTGCGTCAGACTCTCACACTGGACTGGGGAGAGAGGCAGCTTCCCAGGGCCATACTTGCTGCTTTGGCCATGCTGCGTTCCTGAAAAACTACGGTTTGATAACATGGCATGGGAATGGAGAGGGTGCATGGCCAAGTGGAAGAGGAGAGCTGGCAACTCCTTTCATCAGCTTGGCTTCTTAGGCTGCCTGGAAGAAAAGGTCAGCAGTTTCCTCTCCACTAGGTCTGCGGATGCTGCAGCTGGGGCTGGATCACAGAATCACAGAATCACAGAATAGTAGGGGTTGGAAGGGACCTCTGTGGGTCATCTAGTCCAACCCCCCCGCCGAA